GAAAGGAACTGTTATCTTATTTAAGCCACTGTGACTGTGGGTCTCCGTGGCTTACAGCCAAAACGAATCTCAACCGACACAGCACAAGAAACAGCTGACGGGAAGAAACGGCCAGAGAGCTTAAACAGGAGAGATTCTGTGTCATGGAAACCAAGGACGGCAGTATTTCAGAGACGAGGTAACCCGCAGAATGGACAGGGGTGAACCCTGAGGACAAAGACACTGCATTTGCCGGCCCAGGGGTCACTGCTGGTTTTAAGTAAACAGTATCCCACGTTAATTGTAAACCATTGCACACAAAACGCCTCCTCACAGCATCTGCAAATACTCAGGACTTGCCAGTGGGGCTACATCTTGGGATCTGGAAGGCGCCCATGTATTGTGAGGGGAAAAAAATGTTTGCAGACTCACCTCATCTACATAGACTGTACCAGCCCTCGGGGAATTAGTTCGAGCCACAGGCACGGGGAGAGGCTGTCCAGATACCCAGAGGAGGGGTCCCGGCATTGAGGGTGAAGAACGAGTGAAGGGCAAGGGGTCCTCCCCACCCCACCCCCTCTTCCCTGGGCTTGTGCAGTGGTTCAGATTCCAGCCTAGAGCTCCCTCCTCAGATGGGCATCCCTGGGCCCCTGCTGTAGTCTCTGTAGCTCCCTAATTTTTCCCTTTGTATTTGCCTGTATTTAATAGCTGCTTCTTCAATGCTTTGTTAGCTCCGTGAGGCCTTGGACGCTGTCTGGTTGGTTGGTTGCCGTGTCTTTGGGGCCCAGCCGAGTGTCTGGGAGCTCAACCTAGCGCTTGGTGTTTCTCCTTGCAGAGCCAGCGCGGAGAAGCTTGGTCTCCTGCTTCTTTCGTTCCTTGTGCATGAGGGCGAGCTTTTTGAAGTTGCTTCTTCTCTTAGCTTCTCGGTGTTTCCATCTTAAAAACGGTGGTGAAGGAGAGAGAGGGGAGAGTGGGATTCCTGGATACTGGCCCCCTGTGTGGGAGGCGCTGTCTTAATTAATCCCGTGGACTCACCGAGGGCCCCAGTAGCACAGCAGGATGGTGCGGGGCCCAGGGGTCTCTCAGAAGCCGGAGGAGTGAAGGAGGCTCTGGAGGTGCCCCAGAGAACCTTCCAGGGTGAAGGTACTCCAATAGGTGCTCTAGATCAGCACCAGTTAGAGCACGGCTCCAGGTACAGAGGGAGAGCAGCATCGGGTCCCTCGGGCCTTATCTCCCGACCCCCCATCCCCCATTCCCCGCCCCTCCCCCATTCCCCGCCCCCCCTCACTTCCCCAGAACAGCAGGGGTGCTCCCAGCTCTGGGCCTCAGCTCCGGTGGCTCCCCTCCTGCATGTCCCCCACCCCATCTCTGCCTTTCTCAGAATAAACGCCGTCCTCCTGGGAAGCCCTCCCTGGTCGCCCCACAGGGACACAGCTTTCTCCTCTGAACTCCACAACTGTCTAAGATTCCCTTGACAACGAGCACGTTCCGTTTTGTGCCTTGTTTTCAGATGGACGTTCAGCTGCCTGAAAGGGGGCTGCCTCGGGCTTCTGTGCAGCCCTTGGGTGCTAGCGGGCTGCCTCGTACAAAGCGGATCTCAGAAAAGAGCAGGTGGTTGACTGATGGCAGCACCCTATTTGGTAGCCACGCCCTCCTTCTGCTGAAGCGGAGAAACCCCGCCCCCCCTGGACTGCGCCTTCACGCTTCCATCTTGGACTGTCAGATACACGTGCCACAAGGTGCAGCGGGGACTTAATTCATTTTCCCATCTCAAAAACCCACCGCCTGCTGCGGCTAGTAATTTATAAGCCACGTGATTGTTAGTGAGATGCGCGTAACCGTCCAGCCGCAAGCTTTAGATAGACATGTGAATTTCAGTGTCTCTTCTCATGGGATCTTCTGCCGTGTTGGGACTGAGCTGAGCTCTCACTGACATATAAGCTACAAACTGGCCTGTGAGGCCCTTAAATCCGGAAGGCGGGACTGGGGATAATGGAGTGGTTAGCGCCTCTGAGGAGTACATCGGTTTGGGGGCGATGGAGCAGGTTGTATTTTCTCGGCCAAACAGGTGACAGCGTCACCGCACGGAGCTGCAGAGACGGCCTCAAAGCTGCCCCTCTGTCCTGGCCGTTGTCGGGGGCCCCTGGCCGAGAACAGTGGGGACAGGCCCGTTGGGACAGCAACCTCCCCTTGTGACAAAGCCAAGATTCTCATTGTCAAACGCTCCTCTAGCAATCGTTCCTCATAGTGACTGTATTAGTCAGGATTTTCCAGAGAAACAGAAAACAGAGCAAATGGGAGACATGTGTAGCGAGAGAGAGCGAGAGAGGGAAAGAGGGAGATTTACTGTAGGAATTGGCTCGCGTAGCTGCAGAGGCTGAGAAGTCCCCTGGTCTGCGGTCTGCCAGCTGGAGGAGGAAAGCTCGTGGTGTAACTCAGTCGAGTCCGAAGGTCTGAGAGCTGAAGGTGTGACCCCCAGGCCCGGGTCAGAGGCCTGAGAACCAGGCAGCTGCTGGTGTAGGTCCCGACAGCGACCCAAGGCCCAGGAGCTCCAACGTCCACAGGCAGCAGAAGACGGATGTCCCAGCACAGAAGAGAGTGAAATCACCCCTCCTTTGCCTTTCTGGTCCATTTGGGGCCCCAGTGGACTTGATGGTGGCCCACCCACTCAGTCCACTGAATCCAACGCTCATCTCTTCCAGAAACACCCAGAAATACTGTTTCGCCCACTCTCTGGGCATCCCTTCCCCTAGTTGAGTGGATACATAGATTAACCGTCATAGTGACTGTCGCAACATCCCATTCTAACTGCATCAGGGCTCATTTTAAGCATCTTGGCCAAGTCAGAAACATGGCCGCCTGCGTCCAGCCTCAGCCTGTTCAGAGGTTGGAGTGGCCACAAGCTGAGAGATGGCAGAGGTCGTCTAGGCCAAGGCGGCCGTAATGAAGGGCTTGGGACACACCCTGAAACTGTGTCGTCGCACCGGCTCGCACCAGCCCACCAGCCACCGTGGCCCAGTTAGTGCCTGAAAAGGCAGCTCCCTCCTCCCCCAGGGTGCCAGCTTGAATCTGGGCTGGGGCTAAACGTCTTCCGCGTTTTAAGCTGTTATGTTCATTTTAAACGTATTATAAAGCGTTATGGACGGAGAATCCCACATTGGTATTGAAAGCTTTCTTGCTAAAGCAGGGTTAGTCACAAATTACTGATGATTCAAATAGTAGAATCCATTTAAATGACAGCTTCCCAGGGCAAATCGCCCAGGTTAAAAGTGAGGGAAATGACTCCCTTCTGATGAGGAAGAATAATCTTAACATGGAAATCACTGGATTTCCAGATAGCACATATCGGTATAGATGGTGGGGTTGTGTTTCCCTTTTTTTTTATCAGCACATAAAATAAGAAGTTTCAAGAACACTTGGTTGTCAGAGAGATGGCGGGGAATTCCACGAGGGCGACACGAAGCCCTGTATTTGGGATAAGTCAGGGGACCTTCCCAGCTAAACAAAGTCCCAAGACTGGCAGGAAACTGCAAAGGTTTTTGCCACAGAAAACCACAGTGGGGCCCATATGAAGAAAACTTTGAAGTAACTTAGACAGTTGCATCCTCTTCGTGTCAATAAGAGATAAATGAAGCTGTGATCGATAGTGGTTAGTGGCTTCCTTCCTTCCTTCCTCCCTCCCTCCCTCTCTCTCTCTCCCTTTCTTTCTCTCTGTGTCTCTCTCTCTCTTTCTTTCCTTCTTTCCCCCACCCCCAGCTCCTGGTAACCACCATTCTACTCTGGTTTTATGAGTTCAACTTTTTTCTTGATCCCACATTTAAATGAGATGATACAGCATTTGTCTTTCTGTGTCTGGGTTATTTCACTTAGCAAAATGTCCTCCAGGTTTATCCATGTTGTCACAAACGGCAGGATTTTCTTCTTTTTTTGGCTAAATAATATTCCATTTTGTGTGTGTGTGTGTGTGTGTACACACGTACATTTTCTTTATCCATTCATCCATTGATGGACAGTTGTTTCCATCATCTTGGATCCTGCGAACAACGCTGCCATAAACATGGGAACACAGACAGCTCTTCGAGATATTGATTGCATTTCCTTTGGATATATACCCAGAAGTGGAATTGCTGGATGGTTCTATTTTCAGTTTCTTGTGGACCCTGCATGCTGTCTTCCATAGTGACTACTAATTCACATCCCCAGCAACAGTGCACAAGGGTTCCTTTTTCTCTACATCCCTGTTCAGAAGAGGGACTAGTGCAGGGGAGCAGAAGAGCTTTCGGGCAAACAGAGTGAGAAAATGTCAGAGAATGTGTGTGGAGGCTGGGAGGTCAGGAGGGGGTCAAGGCTGATTCCGAGAACCAACAGCCAGAGCTCGCCACCATCCTCTGCCAGCGCCCCTCCCACGTTCCACTGCCTCCCGGCTCCTGGTCCCTCGCCTTGAGCTGCCCAAACCAGATCTGTTCTTACAAAGCTTCAGATGCTCGCAAGTCCCCGTAAACAGTGGGGCCTGTTTTGGTGTCTGGGGAGTGGTTGAAACTTTACTGATTTTATTTTTTTCATCTGGAATATCATTATGCAATCCTTACAGACAACAGTCTGATTTTCTTTTCATAGTTGAGACCATGTCTGTAACAATGTAGCTAAATATATCTCCTCAGCCCTTTATCTCTTAGGAGGCACTGTACCAGTGGCAGGATTTGAATCAACCCTGAAGGGAATGATTAAGGTTTACAGACAATTGTGCTATCAGTTGGAATACGTTATCACATATTAGTTGCATCTGTAAAGGCCACCCTAGGAATACTCGGGCTTCTCCCCCTTTGAATTAAAACTTGGAAAGAAGAGAACAATTAAACTCTAGTGAGGAGGGAAGTCTGCGAAGTCCCAGTGTCAGTACTTGGTTTTAAGTTCTGAAGAGAAATTACAAAGCGGAGCATTACATCGGAGGTTAGGAGGAGCAGAGAGGATGCTTGGGGGAAGGAAACCGGTGTATAAAATTAATTTTAACCATTCTTTTTGGAGGGGGATCACCATGGAATTCTTTGAGGAGCTGATGAAGACTTTGGACTCTTACCCAGACAGATTCACATAAGCACATCATACAAACTCCACACGCATCCTCGCAGGGCGCTCGTTCTCCCCGAAGCCCACTCACAGCTCGTGGGGTTGATCCAAGGAGGCCAGTGAATGCCCTCTGGGTCACGACAGGCTCAGAGAACACAAGAAACCCCAGCTCCACGGGAACTGGTGGCTGAGACAGGAGAGGGGAAGAGGCTGGACAGCTAAGCAGAGAGACCGGGTGGAGGTTTGTGGCGGGTGGGAGGCACACCGTAGACCAGGGATGCTGACCTTTCTGGGCTGAAGTGGTCTCATCTGCATGAGAACAAAGTGAGATGACATAAGAGAAGGTGTTTTGTAAACTTTTTCCAGGTTACGGAAGCTAAAATGGAGGTTTAGGAAGATTAACCAGGTTAGCGTATACTGGGTATATTCACTCACAGCCCTTGACTGTGGAGCAGGGAATATCTGATTTGCATTGAGACTCTTAGGGCAAGAGGAGGAGAGAATTCATGGACCCGTCACAGAGTAAACTAGGTGGAATGAACTTAATCACTTTTGAAATGAGGAGCAATACTCTTAATAGATGATTACCTCTTAGTGTGAATGGAACGGTCTGGAGTGAGATCAGGAGGAAGATGAGAAATGTTCAGCCTGAAAGCCCCTGCATTCTTCTATAGGTCTTTCTTCCAAAACCAGATGGTACATGAGTTAGATGCTCTGTGAGTTATAGAATATTAAATTTTATAACCAAATCAAATTGATGTCTTATGCCTGGAACCAATGCACTATTGAATCTACGGGGAACCGCTTAGATTATCTTAAGTATTGATTCATCAAAAAGGTTTTGGCAAATGGTCTCGGGCAAGGAATCAAGCCAGAAACAGCATTTGTCAGACCAGATGGGTCGACTCACCCTTCGGACTAAAACATTAGCCTCTTTTTGTGAAAACTGCCTAGTGGTCTATTAAATTGGTTCTATCATATATCAACGGACGCGTCTTGATTATCCAATGTATAGGAGCTTCTGGGACACTTCTGTGTGGTGCTAAATGTTATCTATGAAGATGGTCTTTTAGAGAAACTTAATAAAAACCCATTTGGGCACCCAAAGGTCAGCTGTTTGGAAGAAGAGGTGGGAAATTGGCCCATACCCACTGTGGGAGAAAAAAGACGTTATTAGAGGTTGAAAGTCTACTACATGCAAGAGACAAGTGAAGCATCTGCTCTACAGGATAGAAAATAAGAGACCGTCCCTTGTTTGGGGGCTGCAGCAGAACCTTGGTGTCTCGATGACAAAGGGTAACCCCCTAAATGGTTATTTGGATTCGAAGCTGTGTAGGTGGCTCCTCCCCCAACTTTTCCCTGGGTCTTATGCTCAAAGTTCAGCCCGATGTCACCTCCCTACCTGAGCAGCAATTCTACCCGCCCCCCAGTCCTGCCATCAGGACACTGTCGTATCACCCTGTTCCTCGGTCCCTCATCTCCAGATGACGTTAATTGTTTAGGGTCCACCTCCTTCCCCCCCGTGGGACAGGGCGTCCTATCTGTCTTGCTCCTGGCTGTGTCCTCAGCCCCCAGCACACGTCACCCAGATTTGTCAAACAGATGAATTTGTGGAGTCTTTGAAACATTGAAACAAACTCTGACTTGCTTACCGGTTTGTGGAGTCCCGGACCTTTTATGCTATTCGGACAAGACTTGCGGATTCTGTACCTGCAGGGTCTCTCCGTTCCTGGCGCTGCTGTCCTCACGTTTGGACCATTGCAACCACCTCTGAAAAGTTCTGCCTGCCTTTGGTGTCCGCCCGCTCCAGGTCTGTGAACTCCTGCCGGGTCCATTTCCTACTTCCTAGAAAACAGCCATCCGTCTGACTTTCAAGCTCCCTCACATCTGTCCCTGTTTCCCATCTTCTTCCTTACAGACCTTTGATTCAGTCGAGTCAAAATACTCCACCTGTTTCCCTACAGAGCCTGCTGTTTCCTGCCTCCAAGCCCCTGCCCACGTGGTTCCCTTTACCTGCCTGAAGATAAGCCAGCTTCTAAGACGCAACTCAAATACTTTCTCCTCCAAAAAGCTTTTCCTGATTTCATTCAACTGACCGTAACTCCTGCTCCTTTTAACTTTTCTAACACTTTTTTTTGTTCCTCTCTTAAAGTATGAGCCACTTTACATAAACGTCTGGCCTCTTGCACTGGACGGTGAAGGAGTCGAGGGTGGAGACTAACCCTTACTCATCCTTGCCTTCCGCAGAGCACGGGGCTCAGAGCCTGGCCCAGAGGACAGGCTTGATGAGAGCCAGAGAATGAAGGGCTGAGTCTGCATTCTTGTTTGGGTGCAGTTTTATTTTAAGGCCAGGAACATGCAAAGCATCCTGGAATATATTAGTCACTATTCTTGCCAGGGGAAAGAAATCTGTCTCCGATTTGAAGAACTGTCTGGTGATGGACGGTGGTTTGGGCAGTAAAAACAATCCCACAGAACGTTACAATTTGCAACGGGCTTTACTTCATCTGATCCCACGGGCTTGTAAGGTAAGAGGTGTCTCCAGTTTACGGTTGAGGAACCCGAGACTCAGAGAGGAGAAACCGCGTGGATGCGACAGCCAGTGTGTGGTGGGATGGGTCCTCGGGTCTCGTGACTCCAGGTGGTAGGTCTCTGTCTCTTCACAGTGCTGTCCTGCAGCCCTGGTCATGAGGTGGGTGGAGATGGTGATAGACTTTAAGGAGATGGCCCCAGAACTTCCATAATGCCCAGCTGAGTATGTATCCTGGGCAAGAAAGAGTGAAGATAAATGACCTATGCTTTTAATTCAAGAAGCTGGAGTAAAGAACGATGTAAAAAGTAGCAGAGTTTGACTTGACAGTGACTGAGACGTTTGATGAATTAAATGGAAAGAACTCTTGCCTGTGAACTATGGGCTGGTCTAGCAAAGGCGTCTGTGCCTGTTTCCTCACGTCTCCTGGAAAATAAAGGCAGCAAGAGGAAGAGGAAGATTCAGGAATTCGACCCAGAGGCTCCTGGGCTCACCCAGCCTTACCACTCCTGGCTGTCTGGCTTTGAAAAGATACTGTCTGTGTCTACATTTCCTTATCTCTAAGTAAGAAACAGTCATCGTAATTATCTCTCAGATGCTATGCATTCATGATCCCATTCAATCCTCCCCAATTCCGAAAAGTACGAATTAGTATTATTCATTTACTAACTTTTACTCCTTCCTCACTGTACAGACAAGGAAAGGGGTTCAGGGAGGTTAAAAGCCAGGAGGAAGAGGTTGCCAAGATGAACCCTGGTCCCCTCACTCACTACCCAGTGTACCAGTTTCCAGCTATGTAACGCGGGATAGGAGGACCCATCCCAGCAGAGTTCATGTGACAGTTAGATAAGAAAATGTGGTTGAAGTGTCGAGATGATGTTAATGAGATCCCTTCTCATTTCTTTTAATAAATGTTTGTGAATTAATAAGTGGATCCAGGAATCTGCATTTCTTTAAAGCATGTGTGAATTATAGACGCTTTGTTTAATGACGATGAGTAGTTAACCAAGTTCACGTTGCTGCTCAACCTGTTTAGTAAAGACCTTCCTGGGGAAAGTTACCATCAGGGGAGGAGGTGAACCAAGGACGCCCCCCCTCCCCACTGCACCCCTGGCAGCCGATCCCTGTGGGTGGCAGAGGCCCTAAGAGGCAGGGAAGAGCCTTTGAAGTCCTGCTCTTGCAAAAACAAACCTATAAATGACGGCATGGTTGCCAATCGCTGCCTTCAAATGGGTGTCTGCCCCCCTTGTAACGTTTAGTGGGGACTTACAGAAGTTAATCACGGAAGCACAAACCTGGAAGAAACACACAGTACAGGGATTATCTGTGGGTCTGGAAAGGCTCACAACTTATTTCACATAAATGTTTTCATCAGATTTTCTCACCCTTTCCGATGATCATTCCAGCATCAATGCCCTAGAAGGATGCTGGTAGCAGGAGACCAGAGAACATTCCCGAGGGGAGGCCTTGGAAGCCTTGGAGGGAGGAGGGCAGGACCAAAGCTGGACAGGACCAGACTCTGCCTGGCTTGAATGTCGGCTCTGCCTCTGATCAGTGCCTGACCTCCAACCAATGCCCGTTTGCTGTTGCACCTCTGGCAGAGATTCTAGGTCTTCCTCAAGTCATTTCCTTTCCCCTGGGCACAAAGGAGAAGGTAGCAGTGGCCCTGGGATGGGTTCCGGCCAATGGATGTACCTGGAAGGCACGCACACCATGTGCCATGCCACGTCCAAGCTGGCAACAGGCTCCCACTCCCTCGTTCCCTACCTGCCGGCAGGGAGAAAGCTCTGAGCACGTAGAAGAGGACAGGGCCACAGAGGGAGGGGCCTGGGTCCCAAAATGCTACGTGAAAGGCCACCACGCCAGAAGTGGTCTGTGGACGTGACTGCTCTGTGAGCAGGGAATCAACTTTTGTTGTGCTGAGCCCCTGAGAGTTATGGGTTTATCTGTTACTGCATCCAGTGTTTCCTTTACTAATACAGATTCATCTTCGTTGTCAGTACCAGGGGGTACCCGTATGATTTTGTCTCTTGCATTTTTTTTGCTTGCCAGTATCATAGGTGTTTCCCCATGTCACTAAAAATTATTTATTAGACATTACTTTTGGGAGTTCCATAATACTCCAGGGTAAGGATGTACCACGATTTTTCTAACCCATTCCTCATTGTTGGATAGTTAGTTGTTTCCAGATTTTCAGTGTTATAAAAAATGCTACAATGATCATACTTGTAAGCACTGGATTGCTTCCTTTGCAGTCTGAATTCTTAAAGGCCATTCAGGTTTCAGACCTGGGTAATATGCGGAAACCATCGAATGCACTGGACACAACCTGGTTTCTGGAAGGTAACGGTATGGGGTGGTCACCTGCGTGATGCAGGCTACGAGAGGTCCTGGGGAGGGTGGCTGAGATTCTTGAAGGAGAGTGGAGGGAAATTCTTTTCTGCACCAGCTCTGGGGAGAGGTGCTCTCTGCCTGCGTGTGAGGGGCAGTGAGGGTTCCTCCGTCCAGTTCTGTCTCTTTGAGGGTCCGGCCAGGCCAGCCCCTTTGCTTGGGAGAGTCTGGGCTCATGTCTCTTGAGCTGATGTCTGCACTGCCAGGCCATACTTCTTGAGCGTTTTTCTTATTTATTTATTTTTACCCACATCCAAGCATTTTTAAAAATTTGAGCTATATTTAACACACCATAAAATTCACTCTTTTAAAATGTACAATTCAATTGTTTTAATATGATCACAAAGTTGTACCACCATCACAACTACCTAACTCCAGAACATTTTCATCACCCCGAAAGAAACCCACACACGTTAGCAGACACTGTCCCATTGTCCCCTCCCCCTAGCCCCTGGCAACAACGAATTTACTTTTCTGTCTCTATAGATTTGCGTATTCCAGTCTTCATATAAGTGGAATTTAGATGTGTGTCCTTTTGTGTCCGGCTTCTTTTACTTAGCATCATGGTTTCCAAGTTCACCCATGTTGCAGCATGTAGCAGAACTTCATTTTTAAAACATATTTATTTATTTATTTGGGTTGCACCAGGTCTTAGTTGTGGCAGGCGGGCTCTTTAGTTCTGGCATGTGAGCTCTTAGTGGCGGCATGCATGTGGGATCTAGTTCCCTGACCAGGGATCGAACCTGGGCCCCCTGCATCGGGAGCGTGGAGTCTTATCCACTGCGCCACCAGGGAAGTCCCAGAACTTCATTTTTCAATGGCTAAGCAATATTCCATTGTTTGGCTAGACCATCTTTGTTTATCCATTCGTCAGTTGATGGACATTTGGGTTATTTCCACTTTTGGGGTTTTATGAATAATGCTGCTGTGAACGTTTGTGTACAAGTTATTGTATGTATATGTTTTCAATTCTCTTGCTGTTTAACTCCATGTTTAACTTATTGAAGAATGGCCAAATGGTATCCCAAAGGGGAAACACATCTTTCATTCCCGGTGGCAATGTATAAGGGTTCCAGTGTCCCCACATCCTCACTGATAGTTGTTATTTGTCCATCTTTGTTATTATAGCCACCCTAGTAGGTGTGAAGTGGTATCTCATGGTGATTTTGATATGCATTTTCCTAATGATTAGTAATGTGCAACATCTCTTCATGTGTTTATTGGCCATTTGTATATCCTCTTTAAAGAAATGTATATTCAAATCCTTTGCCCATTTAAAAATTTGATTGTCTTTTTAGTATTAATTTGTAAGAGTTCTTTATATATTCTGGATTCTAGACCCTTATCATATAGACTTGCATATAATTTTTCCCCACTCTGTGAGTTGTCTTCTCACTTTCTTGGTGGTATCCTTTGAAACATAAAAGTTTTTATTAAAAATTTTTTTATATAAATTTATTTTTATTTATTTTATTTATTTATTTTTGGCAGCATTGGGTCCTCGTTGCTGCGCACGGGCTTTCTCTAGCTGTGGTGAGAGGGGGCTGCTCTTCGTTGCAGTGTGAGGGCTTCTCACTGTGGTGGCTTCTCTTGTTGCGGATCACGGGCTCTAGGCGCGCAGGCTCAGTAGTTGTGGTGCACGGGCTTAGTTGCTCCGTGGCATGTGGGATCTTCCTGGACCAGGGCTCGAACCCGTGTTCCCTGCATTGGCAGGCGGATTTTTAACCACTGCACAACCAGAGAAGTCCCAACGTTTTTAATTTTAATGAAGTTTGATTGATCTATTTTTTCTTGTGTTGTTTGTGCTTTTGGTGTCATGTCTAACCCAAGGTCACAAAGGTTTATTCCTGGTTTTTTTTCTAAGACTTAACACTTAAGACATATGGTATGAAGTACAGGCCCTACTCCATTCTTCTGCATGTGGATAGCCAGTTACCCCAACACCATTTGTTGAAAAGACTATTCTTTCCCCATTAGACTGTCTTGGCATCCTTGCTGAAAATCAATTACCTATCTGAATTTATTCCTGGACTCTCAACATATGTCTGTCCTTACGCCAGTACACGCTGTCTTGATTAGTGTAGATTTGTCGTGAGTGAGTCTTGAAATTGGGAAGTCTGTCTTCCAACTTTGATCTTTTTCAAGATTGTTTTGGCTATTTTGGGTCCCTTGCGTTTCTGTGTGAATTTAGGATCGATTGTGTTGAATCTGTAGAGACCAGTTTGGGGAGTATTGCCATTCTTAACATTATTCTTTCACGGTGTTACTCTTAAAAAGCAAAACAAACCACAAACCTCAACAGTTAGCTCACATAGCCAACCATTATTAGGTTTTTCTGTAACAGCTCTTTATTTCCTCCAGCTACTTTTAAAAATGAAATGCTTTGCCCTTGTAAATGAATTATTTTCTTTTTACCAGTCAAGCTTAACTGTGTATATTTCCTTATTAGACCATGATGATTCTGTTTCAGTAAAGTTAGTAGGGTTAAATACCATAGAATGTCGTTAAAAGATGGAAGAGCCAAGGCAAAAAATCGCTCATGCAAACCACTGCTCAACTTGCCACAAAAGAGCAGGTGGATTTGTGATGAACGCGAAAGGTTCTTGGTTCTCACACTCCTGTGCTCTCTCAGTATTAGCAAGAGCCGATTTCAAATCCCAGCTGCTCTCCATTCCTCTGCTTTTCTGTGAATATTTTAAAAAGTATTTAATGTCTTTGAATCTGTGTTTTCTTCTTTATGATAGTGATATGATCCAGGTGCCCAGGGGACCTCCTGAGCCTGTGTCTGTGATATGTCACACTTACTTTTAATGACAGTTAGAGTTGCCTGAGCGCCCCCAGGCCTAGCCCCTTCACACTGTCCCCCACTTGCTTCTGTGAGTCCCTGGAGGGTGGCTCACGTGCCCAGAGCTCGTCTGTCAGCTAGTTACCTGCTCTGTCACATCTGCCCCTGCTGCCTCTTCTGCACCTGTCCCCCGCCCCGCCTTCTTTCTACTCGGTCTCCAGGAGACGCCCTCATCGGACTGCCAAAACCGCGTCGGGATTCATTTGTCTCCACGCCCCGGGAAGCACCAGAGCAATGCTGTTTCTATACAGATGAAGAGAATGGTCTTCTCCACCTTAAATGCAGCCCAGTTCCGGAGTCTCTCTGAGTCATTCTTGAAAAATCCAGTAAGCCTCTGGCCCTTTCACCTCTTACCGTACTCCAGCCAGCGGCCCTCCACTGCCACCATTCTCCTCTGCCTTCCATTCACCTCCACCTCATGCCAACCTCCTCCTCCCAGGTCACCAGACAGAAGCCTGAAGAAAAGTGTGTGTGTGTGTGCGTGCGTGCGTGCGTGCGCGCGTGCGCGCGTGTTGGGGGCATCTCATCAACAACGGCTGGGCACCTGCAAGCATGAGTTCCTGATAGTTGAAAACGGTGCCTACCCCCAGAAGCGTTATGAGGATTAACGGAAGTAATGCAAATAAAAGTACGTTAATGCAAACTAAACATAAAATAATGCCCCCCCCAAGTCCCTGGTACAAAGAAGACACTTCCCTCAGGGTTTTAAAATATCAAAGTGACAAGATCCCTTTTCTAGTTAAAAGCACATTTTCCAGATACTTCTTGCCGTCCCAGTGGGAAAGCCCCCAGGCCTGTGATTCCAGGAAAGACCCCCGGGCTACGCCCGTCCTTCCTGGGACTCCGCTTGGCTTGGGCCGAAAACAGAAGCTTGTTTCCTCCGCCCCTGAGCAAGGCCTTCCCCAAGGCTCCTCCTCCGCAGCGATCCCGGCCGCGGCTCCGAGCCCCGCCTCCCCCGGGCGCCTTCACCGAGCAGGCCCCGCCCCTCCACTCCGGCGCCGCTTCCCGGCGGGTCTCGGCGCCCGGACAAGGCGGCCCTCTTTCCAAGGCGGCAGACGCGGCAGTGCGTCCCTGCGCTCCGCCCGCGACCTGCGCCCCCGCGGCGGGTGCGCGCCTCGCAAACCTCCCGGCGGAGGAGTGGGAACCTGGGTTAGGAAGCGGGGCAGGCAGGTGGCGGGGACGAGGACGTTGCGAGCCGGGAGCCCGGCCACGTGGATTCTCAGATCTCCTTGTGGTTTCGTTTCAACACGCAGCCGTTGGGTGTCTGGGTGTTCGCGCAAGTGGCATACGTGATTCGAGAGGTCGGAATGCAGAAGTAGCAGGAGGGCTTTGTGGGCCAGGCCCTGAGGACATGGATACCACATGACAGCCCGACTCGGAGAGGTCACGAGAAGCGCCGAATGCACGACACTGTGACACGTGTTTTAGTGAGATGCGTGCAGGGTACAGAAGTGAAAGGGAGGGATTCTTTCTGGAGCGTCTTCAGGGGGGCCTAAGGCGAGTTTAAGTTTGCGGGGTGGATAAGCACGTAGCAGAGCAACCCGTTGAGAGGAAACAGGGTCTTTAAAGCTGCAGAGGGGACCTGGAGGGGGTGTGAGCCCAGGAGCCCGAGGGGGGCTTGGTGGCCCACCATCTCCTTCAGAGCCACCTTAAATAGCAATCTCAGCAGAAACGGCGAGCTTGCTCTGTGGGCTCCACTTCAAGGTATGTCTGTCCCCTCCTCTTTGGACTCTGTGTATTAACTTGAGCAGCCATGGGTGGTGTGTGGCTTTGAGGACAAAGGGATTGACTGGGACAGAAACAAGAATGGACAAGACCATGAAAGGCATTGGATGCCAGGCTGACGAGGTTAAGCTTTATCCTGTGGGCTGGAGCTTACAAGCTGGTGGCCATGAGTTGATTTTTATTATTATTAGTTTTTAATCCTAGGAACTTGGTTTGTTTAATTCATAAAAAGTTTTAAAAGTCAGTACCTTTCTAGCATCTCTTGGAAGACTGGGAAGATGTCGTGATCCTGCAGGGGGCTGGTGCCAGGTGACTGCTGCCGGCTTTAAACCAGGCACAGGCTCTCTGTTTGCCTCAGTCCCCACCACTCCCTTATGCCTCCCAGGAAAGTGCAGGGGCTCTGCAGGCACTTCAGCACGCCCCCTAGAGGCAACTGGAAGCCAGTGGTTTTAGGTAGGAGAGTTGAATGGTAGGATTTGGAGTAATATGATTGGTAGGTGATTGGATTTGAGAGGAGGCCATTGGAAGCAGGGAGACATGTCAGTCAGTGTTAGAGCAGACAGATTTAAGCAGTATCGAAACACAGTAGGGGAGCAAAGTTTGCCACCCCCAAATGTGTCTCTTTGGCACGAGGATTAATTTAGGCTTATTATTTTTAAAGCCCAAAGATTCAGGAAGAAACTTTGACCTCTTTAACTGCCTAAGGTGTGCGGACAGAGGACCTGTTCCAGGAAGGAGCCGTCACCATAGATCAGTATAGTATGAACTAGATGTGCAAAGTCTGTCTGTTAAAACTCTTCTCTGTGTCCCATTGTCTCTGCTTGCCCAGCAGACATTTGCTTACCAGGCCTTTGCTTTTCCATCTCCGTGTCAACTGCCTTCCTAACCCTCTGAGGTCTCAAATCACTACCCCCAGCACCTTCTTTTGTCTTTAGCCGAAAATGGTATTTAAGGTGAGGGTTTCGGCCATTTGGGCGAGTTACTCAGTTTTCCTCGGTTTCTCCCATGTTACGTGTTATTAAATTTTTTTGATTTTTTCCTGTTAACCTGTCTCATGTCAGTTTAATTCTTAGACCAGCCAGAGGCGCTTAGAAGGGAAGAGGAAATATCTCCCCACCGCCACGCACATGCCCCCACACACGTGCGTGCACACACACACTTTAAATATGGTGAAACAGCTCCCTCTTCTTCAATACTTGGAATCCTTAGATTTCCTAAGATTTCTTTACCCCATCTACATTTGTTTAAATTTAATTTAAAGATTATTTCTTTTGGGGGGAGGGAAGTACAAGTGTCTTTTTTCCCAGGGCCCACTTCTCCCTTCTGTGTCCACCTCCCCTCTCAGAGATGGAGCTGGGTTTGGCCTGAGGAGAGCATCAAATCCTGGACTGCTAATTTTCTGACCCCAGAAGGCCGCTTGCAGGATTCAGCCTCATACTCTTCCAGCGGCTCTAGTGTTCATTCCCTGTAGAGCTGGGCTGCATCCTTCCCACGCCCGGCAAACACCTCTTAATGCTCTGGAAGGAAGAAAAATAGAGAATTGTCTGGGAAGCGTGGTGGGGAAATAAAAGCCTGACCCCGGAGCCATATGTGATCCAAGTTACGATAACAGCTTGTAGAGGAGAGAAAGGAGACCTGACTCCAACTTCTGCTTCCCCTCCACTGCTGGGCGACACACCCAGAGTGGTTCTGCATCTCTGTTTCTGCAGCAGGAGGGGAGGAAGATGGTGTGATGCCAGCCAAGGGCCAAGCAAATGGAAAGCCCGTGGTATGATCTGTCTGCCTATTGACCTAGCTAGCCCACGCCTCCACCGCTGAAGCCGATTTCATCTGCAGGGGCCGTGTTGTTTACTGACTTAACCATCTCTTTCGGTGCCGTTGTCTCAACACGGCACTTTTAGGTAAGATAATGTTCCTGTGTGTGTGTGTGTCTCGATTACAAATGTCAGTAGAGATAGAAGTGAAGGTCTGAAATTCCCTGCGGGGTATTTGCTCTCCCTGGCTCAGGACATGAGAGGCTGCTGGCAGTCAGTTTACCTGCACCGGTGGGGATGTGTGAGTAGGTGCCGGGGACTGGGGCAGAGACTCATTCATTCAACAAGCACTCTGTCCTAGTGTGGCTTCTTGGGGACGCAGATCCTGAGTCAAGGATTTGAGAGCATGTTTTTTTTTTTTTTTTTTTTGCGGTACCCGGGCCTCTCACTGTTGTGGCCTCTCCCGTTGCGGAGCACAGGCTCCGGACGCGCAGGCTCAGCGGCCACGGCTCACGGGCCCAGCCGCTCCGCGGCATGTGGGATCTTCCCGGACCGGGGCACGAACCCGTGTCCCCTGCATCGGCAGGCGGACTGTCAACCACTGCGCCACCAGGGAAGCCCCGAGAGCACGTTCTTTACCGAGGAGCTGAAGTGAGGAAGTAAGACAGAGAAAGAAGGCCGCCAACGAAGCGTGTGTTGGCAAGTCAGCTGCCACCGTGGGGCTTCGTCATGCTGGGGAACTTTGGGATTCAGTGCAGAGCACATGCCTCGGAGTTACCCCACCCAAGGTGGGAGGGAGCTGGGATATTTGTACACCAACTCCTGTCAATCATTGATTGCGAACCAATCGTGCCGAGGGAGCGTGAATTCCTGGGACGTCTGCCGGCTGCTGGAGTAGGCAGAGAGCAGGCTTTGGTGGCCAGAGGAAGTGCTCAGACAAAGGGGTGCAGGTACTGGCGGCCGAAAGTGGGACCAGCCTGGACTGAAGTGATCAGGACAAGAGGCTCTGGGTGGAGGCAGTGACAGCACCTGCTACATGTTCTTTCAGGACTTCCTGTGTGCCAGGCACGGTCATATAATGGTCACTGAGATGGATTTTGTCTCTGTTTTCACAGAACTTCCAGCTTAGTGGGGGAGATAAACAAGTAACCAGGCTGTGCCCCAAAGGTGGGATATTATGTGATGGTAGAAAAGAGAAGTGCATCAGGGAAGGCCTCCTGGAGGAGGTGACATGTAAGGTGGACCTGCATTAGGACTAGAAATAGTCCCAGTCGGGAGGAGCAGCACGTGCAGAGGTTCTGAGGAGGGTGAGTTTGTGCTAAACTCTGAGAAACTACGAGAAATTTGGCAATGCCTGGATTACAGAGCTCGAGGTGAGGATGCAGGAGACGGAGCCCTGTGATGGAGGACTTAGAAAACTGTTCGGACGGTTCCTAGAGCAGCTTCTTCCAAGACCAAACCTCCTTCCAGTTGGTATTTCAGGTCCTTATGTGATTGTCCCCTAGCATCTTCCTCTCTGTTTTAATCTTGCATGCAACCTGTTCTCTTTCACATATTTCTAACAAAACAGAACCTTTTAAACATTTTAAACAGAAAATCTAACAAAGGTTTATTTGATTTTGTTACAGATTAAACTAACATATAATTGGCAAATTATTCCCGTTCGTAGATTCAATGGCTGGTTCGAGCAGTATTTATAAAGAGTCCCTGCCCTTAAGAGCCTCAAAATATGTGATGGGCTCTGGCATACTGTGTTCTCCACAGACGGCTGCAAGGATGCCTCCCAGCCCACACTCCTTTTGCAGCATGGTTGGCACTCCTCCCAGTGAGAGGTAGGCCCTGTGTTTCTTATTCTTGAAACTGCACGGGCTTGCGACCACTGTGGTAGGGATACTAGGTGACTGTGGAGGCTGAGTCAGGAGAGGCAAGGCTCCCCTTGGTTTTCTAGGGATGCTTGTCTTGCGAACCCTGGGCCCTCCTGTAAGAAGCCTGAGGCTGCCATGCTATGAGGAAGCCCAGATCACGTGAAGGGTGGCTGTGGCCTCCTGCCCCAGCTGAGGTTCCAGCTGAACACTAGCATCAACCGCTAGACTTAGGAGTGACGACTTTGTCATGCGATTCCTGCCCCCAGCCGTTCAGTCACTCCCAGCCTTCGAATCCTCCTGGCTGAGGCCTCTGACCTCAAGAAACAGAGATAAACCCTCCCACTGTGCCCCTCCCGAATCATTGGCCCAGAAAACCCAGGAGCAGGGTAAGTGGATTGCAATAACCCACTGCGTTTTTGGGTAAATTGTCGTTCACAGAGCTGAGTCACGTAGAGGACAACCTCACACCATGTATAAAGGACCAGAGTTTGTGCTACAGACCACACGCACCCCGTGGAAGGTCCCAGAGGGGAGACCTCACACTTGTCCAGAGTTTTCTTAGAGTTCAGGCTTGAACCAGCCTTGAAAGATGGTGACCGCCCTGCTGTCACCTCCTCTTCCAAACAGAACAGAGTTCCTTTTTTTTTTTTTTTTTTTTGAACAAAGTTCCTTTGACAGACCTCTCCCCTCCCATTCTCGTCTGCCTGGCGTTGATGCTGCAGGCCAGTTGAGCTGGGATTGGATTCAACCACAGCTGGTTCAGAGCCAAGGAGGCCACACACGCATGCCTAGGACTTCATGGAAAGAAAAGCTTCCTGCCTTTTCCTTGGAGGACGCCAGCAGACGCTCAGTGTGGAATGAGGCTGCTTCTACGTCAAAGGGGGAGCCCGGGGCTGAGAGCACGGGTGTGGGCGCTGGGTGGAAGCCTCACCATGGAAGGCAGATCGGGGAGCCGGACAGAGCCAGGGGGACACCAGGCCACGGGCGGCAGCGTTTGATTTGCTGCACAATCCCTTGCTAGTCACAGGCCTTGAGTTTTTAGTGCCCTTTATTATACAGACTAGTTTTAACTGGAGTTTCTGTGACTTGCAACAGAAAGAGTCCTAACTGATCTCAGTGGGTGGGATCTGTTCCCTGTCAAAGAGGTGAAGCGTCTCAGGCAAGGGGAAAGGGGAACATCCTCCCAGTGTGTAGCCACTGCGGCGAGGCCTGTCGGATAACAAGGGGGAAAGTTCCCACGTCCAGAGTATTGTTTGGCGTAACGTTTCCCAAAGTTTTTTTTTTCCTTGGTGGGTCAGTAAATGTGTACGAGCCACTGGCGTCAGCGCTGTGCCGTGTTGGGGAGACGCCGAGCAAGCATGGTGGCCCCGCCTTAGCGGAACTTGCGTTCCAGCCGGAAGTACAGACATTATGCTGGTTATAGTGGGATGACTATATGTCCCTCCTGGCTGCAGGAGGGACAGAAGATGCTTGGAAGCTATGACGGGCGGCACACAGTTTGGGAGGAGGGGTGAAGGAAGGCTTCCTTGAGAAAGCGACCTTTAAGCAGGGCCTAAAAGGTGAGTAAAGATTTAATTAGTCAGTGGGGGAGGGGCTTGGGGGGATGTTCTAGGTAGAGAGAATAGCACGTATTTGGCTATAGGACTTCTAAGGGCTTTTAAAGTGTAAAGGTGCACTGTGAACCCCAAGAGGGGCTGAAGTGTGCAGTCCCCAAATGTATTGACATAGAGTTCCGATTTATTAGAGAAGCATCTTGTAAGACTTAGAAAAAACAGCATGTGTTCAGGAATGAAGTGTTCTGAGGCCAGAGGGAACATGGTCCTGATTCAGGTAAAGACCTATGTATGAGAATAGAGGGTGATGATAGATTGTAGATAGATAGATGACAGATAGGTAATAGATAGATGACACATAGGGAGATGGATAGATAGATGATAGATTGATAGTAGATAGAGGGATAGATAGGGAGATGAATAGATAATGGATAGATATATAGATGGATGATAAATAGATGACAGGTAATAGATGATAGATAGGGAGATGGATAGATGATAGATAGATGGATAGAGATGATAGATGATAGATAGATAGATAGATGGATAAATGAATGAGATGGAGGGAGGGAGGGAGGGAGGGAGGGAGGAATATTAGACGAGGCCCAGAAGGGCCAGGATGCGGAGGGAGTTGAACGTCAGGATAAACACTTTGTTGGTGTCTGAGTGTAGATTCATGGCTGCGGTTTATGTGAGAAGCTTGGGAGCAGAAAGGAGGTTACAGTGATCCCGGCATGAGATTCTAGGCTAAAGTGGGGACCAAGGTGGGAGAAAAAGAAATACGTTTCAGAGGCGCCCCAGAGGAGGGACAGGCAGTGATTAATGAGAGCCATCTAGAGTGACAAGAAAGGCAGGAAGAAGCGGAGTGTAGCCTCTGGGTTTCACGAGGAAGAGGAGCTCCAGGAAGAAACGGAAAACCTCTGTCTCGCTCGTCACCACTAGTTCACTGCACAACGGCAGGAAACGTCCAGGCCACCACGTTCCGAAGCATTTGCCAAATTCTCAGCAGGGCTAGGGAGCCCGGGGCAGCCGGGAGAGAAGCCGAAAATTAGGGTAAATAGAAGCTCAGAGATTTTCGGTGGGTTTTAATCTTCTGTGTCATCATGACTTCGGCCTCGAGAGCTGCCTCTGTTCTTGTTCACCGGTGACAGGAGTGACATGGCCTCCTTCAAACCCGTGCAGCCACATTTCATTAAGAGGAGAGAGAGAGAGAAATGTCCTTTCAGGTCAGGATGTCAAAGAGATGAAAAAGAGGAGATATTTAAGAGAAAAATAACCAGCAGTGCACCATTCATCTCTCTCTCTCTCTCCCTCTTTCATCTCATCTGACCTGATACCCTGAACATCCGTGATAAGAGACGTGGGCGCAAGTGGCACCGGGATTAATACAGCCGCACACAAGTGAGGTTTTCACCCCGTAACCACCATCCTTTCCTTTGGGGAATCAGGGCTCCAAGTGTCAGGCGCTGTGTGCGGTTCCCGGAGGGTCACGGCGGGACGCCTGGTGCAGCTGCTGCGGATTCAGAAGCATCTTTCAGAAGCCGTGACTGGAGTCCTTTGACTGTTCCTGGTACTTACCTGCGAGGCCGATGCCACCCTTGACCTGGGCGTTTCCTCCGGTCAGCCCTTGTCCTGATGCATCACCTGGACCGGACTCATGGCCCCCAGAGAAGTCCAGTAGGGCTTTGCTGGGACCAGAATGAGCATTCATACTTCATCCCATTCAGGAAGGTTCCCAGAGCATCTCCTCTGCACCAGACACGGTGCTCTGCATGGGGCCAGACAGACACAGAGCAGCCGCCACCGTCGTGCATAAGCCCGTGACCAGCCCTCCGGGGGCTCAGACGGGGCTGGGCACACAGGAAGGGGACCGGGACTGGGCTCTAGGGCGGCCGAGACAAAATTCCACAGACAGGGGGCTTAAGCGACAGAAATGTACCTACTCACAGCTCTGGAGGCTGGGAGTCTAAAACCAAGGCAGGTGTCAGGAGGAGGTGACACTTGACCTTAAAGAGTGAGGATGGGACTTCCCTGGTGGCGCAGTGGTTAAGGATCCGCCTGCCAATGCAGGGGACACGGGTTCGAGCCCTGGTCTGGAAAGATCCCACGTGCCGCGGAGCAACTAAGCCTGTGCGCCACAACTGCTGAAGCCCGCACACCTAGAGCCTGTGCTCCGCAACGAGAGAAGCCACCACAATGAGAAGCCCGTGCACCGCAACAAAGACCCAATGCAGCCAAAAATAAATAAATAAATTGATTAAAAAAAAAAAAGAGGGAGGAATCTGAAAGGTGCAGAAAGATATCCAGGTGGAGAGAGCCATGTGAGCCTATGACCTCGTTAGAGGGGTTAAAAAATAACAGGACAGGCCTGGCCGCTGACATCAGGGATTGTCAAGGTCATGCTCGCTTCTGTAGGAATGACGATATAATAATCACTGAATCCTAATGACTGTTTACTATGTGCCGGGCACCCTGGTATGAGCCGTATGTGAATTTTCTCTTTGAACTCCAGGCAGCCTAACAAGGCCGTGAAGGACGTGACTTTCCCTGCACAGACGAGGAAGCTTAGCCCTGGAGAATTCAGTGATGTGCCCGAGGTCACACAGCAGGCAGCCCTCAGCCCCGGTCTGTCCCCGCAGCCCAGGCCCTACCCCTCCCGCTCGCCGACGTGGGGTAGGGAGTGTGCAAGTGCTCGTGTGGTGGCTGAGCTCCTAAAACACACGCATTCTCAGACCCTGCTCCCAGAAATGCTGGCGAGAGGCCATCACTCTACTTTCAGAGACTTCCGGGGCGGTTCGGATGGGAAACAACAACAGAGTAGCTCTGAGCTTTGCAGGGTGGATTCTGTCCCGAGCCGCCTCCAGAGCTTTGCTGTCCTTGCAGTTCGCATCTCGGTAGGAAGAATGTCAGGCGGAACGTAAAAGGCAGGGCTTCTAAGTCTGGCCCTGCTGCCAGCCAACTGTCTGATTTTGGACGAGTCCTGCCTCTTTGGGTTTTAATTCTTTGTGCGTCAGAGCAGGGGGTGTGGGGCGGGACAGATGACTCCTGAGATGGCCTCAGGCTTTGTCACGCAACAGTTCTGCTGAGCAGTGGCATTAGGAGATGGCAAATTCAGTCATTGAAGCTTAGATGTCTGTATTCATTTTCTCAGGCTACAGAAACAAAGTACCCTAGACTGGGGGCTTCAACGACAGAACTTGACCGTCTCACAGCTCTGGAGGTTGGAGTCCAAAATCAAGGTGCTGGCAGGGTTGCTTCCGTCTGAGCTGGGAGGGGGAAGCTGCTCCGGGCCCCTCCCCCAGGCCCTGGGGGTTTGCTGCGCATCCTTGATGTCCCTTGTGTTGTAGGAGCATCACCTCAGTCCCCGCCTCCATCTCCACACGCTGTTCTTGTGTGTGTGTGTGTGTGTGTGTGTGTGTGCGTGCGCGCGCACATCTCTCCCTTTTATCAGGGTACTGGTCATATCAGAGGAGGTGGCACCCGCCCTAATCCAGTATGACTAATTATATCTGCAATGACCTTATTTCCAAATAAGGTCACATTCTGAGGTCTTGGGGGTTAAGGCTTCAACATATGAATTTTTAGAGGATTCAGGTCAACACATAACAAGGTCCAAGGGAAAAACGCCACTAAAATGAGCCAGTCACTTGAAATTGAGTTAGGTTTCTGATCAGTCAGGAATAATTGTTGCATACCAGAGAGTCCACTCAGGCCAGTTTAGGGTGGAAAGGGATTTATTAAAGGATGCTTGCTAACTGCAGAGGGGCCACCGCCTCAGGAAGGACACCCGCTTTGCGCGGTGGCGCGGCTCCCAGGACACGGCCGCTGCTGGTGTAGGATCTGGCCCCGCCCCCGGTGCAGCGCGCAGAGTCCCACACACAAGCGTCTCATGCTCTCTTAGTGGAATAATTTGGAAGGACTACGTTGAAATGGAAAATGTGCATTCCTTTCATTCAGCAGTTCCACTCATATGATTTTTCCCCCTAAGGAAATAATTCAGTGAACGCCCAGACATATCTTTGTAAATACGTCTGTTTATCAGAGTGCCGCTTATATGAACCAAGACACCTCACTATCCATCAGTGGTAGATGGGTTAAATAAACCATGATACAAGTGTGCCCAGCGTGAGGCTACGTTAAGTGTAATGATATAAATCGGTGGTTTTCAGCTCGGGTCAGATCCAAAGGCCACCCCTTCTATAATAAATGTCAGACTCAAATGTCCCCTTTCTATAACAAATGTTTATAATGCTCCCCTTACTATCCTGAAATGAAATTCATAGATAATATAACCTATATTATATTAAAATAGTTATTATATAAATATATTAAAATAAATATATTAAATATATATTATAAAAATATAATTTTTTAATCAATATAATGACACGATGACTCATACACACAAGTTTAAAAAATCAATATATTGCCTTAATTGTAACATAAAAGAGAAATAAAGGGAGAAGAATTGGTAATGAATTCTTTCAATATGTAAACACACAGGCATGGGTACACGTGGAGACACATGGAAGGTCAAGGTCGGCCCCTAAGGGAATCCCCACCAACGACCCGGCCAGGAGGCAGACCCTTCAGCTGTGGGTGCCAGGAGTTCAGATCTTCTAGCTGCATCGTTATGGATGGTGGGGTTTCCCAGAATGAGCAAAGCGAGGTACAATCCACCCTCAATATCCCTCCGTGTTCCTGGAATATGTGGTATATGTTAAAACCATGCAAAATTACTTGTGTCTAAATTAAAATGAAGTTTGGATCTTAGATTATTCTAAATAAGCTTTTCAACTACACGAACGACTGGGCTGATATTTCAAAATTATGAGGGCTACTTCTCCACATGGGGGGTTGCCTCGCACAATATAGGACACTCAGCATCCCTGAACCCCCAGCTGCTCAATGCCAGGAGCCCCCCAAGGAAAAAGTCCCCACAAATTTCCAACACACTCCTGCTGTGGAGCAGAATGACCTCCTTGAGAATCTGTCACCACTCATCTGCGTTTACTGACATGGAAAAAAGTCCACGATGTGTAGTTCAGCACAATGTACGGTTAAGTCAAAATCTTCAGGGTCAGCAGCTACAACATGATTCCATTCTTGAAAAAGGAATAAGCTAAAGAAGGAAGGACTCCGTGAAAGAACCGTGTGTGTGTGCACGTGTGTGTGTGTCCACAGAGGAATAAGTCTGGACGTATATACACAAACACATTAACCAGCATTGTCTCTGGGGATGAGAGTTCAGATAATTTGCATGTTCTAATGTCTATTTGTTGGAATGGACTGATTTTTTTTTAGAAATTATGATATACAATCAGAAAAAAGCAACTATTTTCATTTGGCAAACAAATAACAGAAGGCAGTTTTCTGCTGGGGAATTCTCTGCTGTCCTGTGTGCTGTGGAATGTCAGCAGCCTGGCCTTGTCCCCCCAGAGGCCGGGAGCACACACCCCGGGCACAGATGTGAACCAAGGGCATCTCCAGACACAGACAGAGGGGCGATGGCACTGTGGTCTGTGGTCTGGGAGGTTGGGAAGCCTTCCTGAGGAGGTGACAAAGCACTGAGATGTGAAGACGGTAGGAGCGAACTAAATGAAGAGAGGGTGGAAGGGTGTCCTGGGCAGAGGGAACAGCATGGACAAAGCCACGTGGCAGGGAGGAGCTGGTGGGAACGAGCTACCAAAGGAAACAAAGCTTTCACTGGGAAATAGCAAATAGTACCCCCCTTGGATAAAGGAAGAGGGCGACATCAGGACACATCTGCCTCACATGGGGCTTCAGGGATGCTCCAGAGGTGTACTGTGAACCATGCCTCCTGACACACAGTCTAATATGACACGTGTTATTGAATTTTGCAATAGGAAATGTAAAGCCCATGTGGTTTTATTAAGACATTTCTATCAATTTTCCTTTGACTTGCCCTTCCAAATAATAAACCGAATGTTGCTTCGCTTAATTTTCAGGTTGATGAAGCTTCCTTTCCTATTGCTAATTTAAGTCACTTAAAGTGATTTTTTATTAATCTGGGATAGAGAGGTTTGCCTTTCTTAATTGAAAATATTTTTGAACCAGTAGAATACGGCATGAAATTATTCAGGAAATCTCAGGCCCTAGAGTCAAGGAAATCTTTTTTCTTTTTAAAAATCCCAGCTTTCAAAGAATTTTCTCCAAACTCTTTTTTGTTTTTTTAACATCTTTATTGGAGTGTAATTGCTTTACAATGTTGTGTTAGTTTCTGCTTTATAACAAAGTGAATCAGTTATACATATGTTCCCATATCTCTTCCCTCTTGCATCTCCCTCCCTCCCACCCTCCCTATCCCACCCCTCTAGGTGGTCACAAAGCACTGAGCTGATCTCCCTGTGCTATGCGGCTGCTTCCCACTAGCTATCTATCTCACGTTTGGTAGTGTATATATGTCCATGCCACTCTTTTACTTTGTCCCAGCTTACCCTTCCCCCTCCCCGTGTCCTCAAGTCCGTTCTCTACGTGTGTCTTTATTCCTGTCCTGCTCCTAGCTTCGTCAGAACCTTTTTTTTTTTTTAGATTCCATATATATGTGTTAGCATACGGTATTTGTTTTACTCTTTCTGACTTACTTCACTCTGTATGACAGACTCTCAGTCCATCCACCTCACTACAAATAACTCAATTTCGTTTCTTTTCATGGCTGAGTAATATTCCACCAAACTCTTACAACAATCTTACTGAAAAGAGTTACTGAACGCTCAGCTGGCTACCAATGACTTATCTCCACTAACTAAACATAAAAACATATCTGGCTTCTTTGCGCCAACGTGTGTAATTCCAATAATCATCATACTCTATATTTATACAGATTTCTGTCTTATTTATACTTCCCAACAGCCTACAACTGGTGGGTCGGCGGGGAGGGATGATCTCTGGGAATGATAAAATAAGATTGCCCTCTTGTGGGACTTCCCAGGTGGCACAGTGGTTAAGAATCCGCCTGCCAATGCAGGGGACACGGGCTTGAGCCCTGGTCTGGGAAAATCCCACATGCCAGGGAGCAGCTAAGCCTGTGCGCCACAACTACTGATCCTGCGAGCCGCAACTACTGAAGCCTGCGAGCCACAACTACTGAAGCCCGCGCACCTAGAGCCTGAGCTCCACAACAAGAGAAGCCACCACAATGAGAAGCCCGCGCACCGCAATGAAGAGTAGCCCCCGCTCGCTGCAACTGGAGAAAGCCCGTGTGCAGCAACGAAGACACAACGCAGCCAAAAATAAATAAATAAATTTTTAAAATGATTGCCCCTTCGTTTTAAACTATAAAATAGGGAGGGAGGAATTCAGGTTGTGTTACTCACGAGCTGGATCACCTAGAGTAAGTTAATTAACTTCTCTGTGCCTCGATTTGCCTGTGTGCAAAATTGCATAAGTAATAATAGTACCTACTTCATGGGCTGTGCAAAGCTCCCAGAACAGTGCCTTGGCCTACGTTGGCCATCAGGACTGCTGACTGTCCGTCTTAAGAAGTGGGATGAGGGTGCTCAAACCGCAGCAGCCTCGCCTGGCTGGTAGAGGAGCAGGCAGGACACTGCAAACAGCGGGCGCCAGGTTTCAGAGGCAAGGAGGCCACAGGCTTCCAGCAAACTTGCAGAGGCTCAGGGGAGGGATGGCATATTAGTCTTTAATCACGCATGACACTGTGTGGCCTTTTTTTCTCATCCCCACGTCACACATACGGAAGTCCAGTGTCAGAGGCGTTGGGGCAGAAACATGGCCAAAATCCACTGCAAAGCTGGTGCCCTTGGAAACCAGTGTCTCCAAGTTCCTGACTGACAGTCACCTCCGGGATTTTGGAAATCCAGAAATCATGTCGAGCTTCAGATAATTCCAACACCCTTCATACTCGTTACTCATTATAAAATTTTGTTTTTTTAAAAAAAATTGAGTTTAGTTGTATCTACAAATATCTGTGACCTATAGACCAACTCTGTCCAATACAAATACTGTGAGACACACGTATTTTACGTGTTCTTGTAGCCATGTTTAAAAAGTAAAAGGAGACAGGTGAAATTAAGTTTAATTATATTTTATTTAAACCAGTATAACCAAATGGTTATTATATCAATATTTAACCAATATAAAACTATTAATGAGATATTTTTCTTCTTTTTATTCATACTCATTCTCCACCGTCTAGCACATCTCAGTTTGGACAAGTCCCATTTCTAGTGTTTAATAGACACATGCAGGCAGTGGATAGTATATTAGGGCAGCTGTAGAGAATAGTCACACATGGGCAAACACCAGCAAATGCTGGGTGTAGTGTTTGAATACTGTAACACGTGGCTCTCCTAGCAAGGTTAATAACACTACACAGAATCACTTTTGAAGTTGCCAGTTAAAGAATTAATTTTGCTTCTAAAACTTGTTATTTCTTGGAACACCTCTCATAGGATTTGTAAAGTATACAATGCGTACAAACATCAATATTTATTTTATTTGCAAGAGTGACTCGCCAGTAGCAGCAGACAAACCATAAGCACACAGACAGCCACAGTACAGCAGCTGATGACATCATGACCACCCTGAGTTCCTTTCCCGGTTCCCGGAAAGGTCAGCCTTCACCTTCTCCTCCCCCCACTCGGCTCTTGCCTGACGTCAGTGGGTTGCTTGGAACAAGCAACATCTCTACGTAGATTGTTAAGCTTTAATCCTTTCAGAAGAATTATAATACTTTTTCCAGTTTTCCCAATTTCTTGATTGATTTTTCTTGGGACTCATTAAAACGTATACATTTCCCGAGAAATGCTAGGAAGACATTTCTGCACGGAAACACCACCCTTTCTGGGCTTTGCTATTGTGACGACCACAACAAAGATGATCTGGTACCCTTGCATGGCTGTGTGCAGTGGACAAGGCTTTGAACAAGACTAAAAGTGATTTCATCCTCTCCATCGTTGATGTGTTTAAAGATTTTCTTTCCTTTTAGTTCAGCCTACGGTTTCTATAAAAAAAATACACTACACTTGTGTTAATGATTTAAATGTGTGAACACTAGGTAATTTCATGGGAAGAGGGTGAAGAGAGCTGTCCTACTAACAAAGGTTACTTAATGGGAACTTACATCAATAAATCATCTCATTGCCATTGTCTTGACCTGTCGCACGGCAGCAAGGGCACTAAACTGGAACAAGCGTCGTGTTTCCTCCACCCACATGTATCTCCCATGACCACATACTCAAACAACACTATGTCTTACCCACAGAATCCGTTTGTATCGAGGGAATATGATGCACACCTAAAATCCAAATTTCCTTGTCTTAAGATGAAGGGTCAGATGTAACAAAATACAGTTAGGAAAATTTATTCCAAAATAAAGTATTTCATATGCACAGGCTATGAGTTAGAAACTTTAAAAAAAAGTAAGTAAATGCTATGAAAGGTCTCTTATAAAATTCTTATTCAATGAGGTCATAACCTGAGTTAGGTGGTTAAGAAAAATATGTAGGGAATCATAACAAATGATAGTAGTCCAACTGGATGTAAAATATGTGAACATTCATTCAGGGAATATGTAGGGAATATATGTAGGGAATATACAAATATGTAGGGAATCATAACAAATGTAGGGAATGTAGGGAATATGTAGGGAATATAACAAATGATAGTAGTCCAACTGGATGTAAAATATGTGAACATTCATTCAGTAATCTTTTGGTGTAAGGCCAAGGTCTTTTCTTTCTGTATGGTCTGATTGGAGTGCTTTGTTATCTTTTTTTTTTTTTTTTTGGCTGCGTTGGGTCTTCGTTGCTGTGCACAGGCTTTCTCTAGTTGCAGTGAGCGGGGGCTACTCTTCATTATGGATGCAGTATATGGGCTTCTCATTTGGTGGCTTTTGTTGCAGAACACGGGCCCTAGAGAGTGCGAGCTTCAGTAGTTGCGTCTCATGGGCTCAGTAGTTGTGGCTCGCGGGCTCTAGAGTGCAGGCTCAGTAGTTGTGGCGCACAGGCTTAGTTGCTTCGTGGCATGTGGGGTCTTCCCGGACCAGGGACCGAACCCGTGTCCCCTGCATTGGCAGGCAGATTCTCAACCACTGCGCCACCAGGGAAGCCCGATATGGACCATTTTTAAAGTCTTTATTGAATTTGTTACGATACTGCTTCTGTTCTTTTTTTGTTTTGGTTTTTTGGTCACAAGGTATGTGGGATCCTAGCTCCCTGACCAGGGATCGAACCCACACCCCTGCACTGGAAGGCAAAATCTTAACCCCTGGACCACGAGGGAAGTCTCCATCTCAGTGTTTTCTTGCATGGCTCTGGTGTGGTGTCATGTCTTCTGGTGTCTTGTCTCTTTGCCCCAAGTCACAAAGATTTTCTTCTAGAAGTTTTATAGTTTTACACTGTACATGTAGATCCGTTTTGAGTGAAATTTTGTCTGAGAGGTGGGGCATAGGTCGAAATTTATATTTTTGCTTATAGACATCCAATTGTTCCAGCAGATTTGTTGAAAAACTATCCTTTCTCCATTGAATTGCTCTTTACCTTTGTCAGAGATCAGTTGGCCATGCGTGGGTGGGTCTATTTCTGAACTATTTTGTTCCATTGATTTGTCCCTTCATCAATATCCCACTGTCTTGATTACACTATGTAGTGTGAGTCACCAACTTTATTCTTTTTGAAAATTGTTTTAGCTATCAATCCTTTGCCTTTCCATTTAAATTTAGAATCAGCTTGTCTATATACAATACAGCTGGGATTTTGACTGGAATTGCACTAACTCTATAGATCTATCTGGGGAAAATTGGTATCTTTACTATGTGAGTCTTCCAATAAATGAGCACGGTATGTCTCTCCTTTTATTTACATCTTCTTGATACTTTTTCTTCATTGTTTTGTAGTTTTCAGCATACAGATCCTGTACATGTTTTGTTAGACTTATACATAAATATTTCATTTTTTCTGAGCTATTATAAATACTATTTTTTAAAATGTGGCCTCAAATTATAGATCGCTAGTACATAGAGATGGTTTATTTTTCCCACACTTATTTTTAAACAAAAAATATTTTACGTAATTTGCCTTCATAGAGTATTTCCAAAGCATTATATTTTATATTCATGGAAATAACAACTCCTTTCACATTATGATATTATTGGTTTGTAAAGCACACAATTAAATTGTGTAATTATTATAATACGTACAATTGGTACGAACAGGTTCGGGAACA